TCACAACAATAAAAAAAAAATTTCACATCAATGATTTCTTTCCTCCACACACATTAATGAGTGGGTTGAATAAAAAAAAAAGCTTGAAGTTAAGACAAATAAACACACTTATAAAACAAAACAAATCCAAGGTTTCTTTTAATCAATAAAACAAATCCAATGTTTTAAAAACAATTTCTGTGACCATGGCTCAAATTTTGATGCCTGTTTTGTTATTCAGATTTCCCAAAGATGCTCTAAGCTTTTTACTAATAGAGAAACTGCTTGAGAATCGTGTTCCACAAATCCAGTAAAGCTGAAACGGGGTTTTGGCTTTAGCAATTTACAGAAAAGCCTAAATTGATTGATGAGTGGGCGAATGTGTGTAATCTCTGAACCGACCGACCCATCATCATCCCAATCATCTCTTTCCGTGTCGCTCTCTTCCTCTCCCACGTTTCTCTTCCCTTCTTTCCTTCCTTATATGGGTTTTAACTTCCCTCTTCTTTACTTTTCGTCTCCAGTTTCGCTTTCTCTGATCGACGACGATGAGGCTCTACGTCTACGTCTTGCAGGCGAAGGATTTGCCGGTTAAAGAGACATTCGCCACGCTTCTCGTTGGGAAGCACAAGTCCAAGACGAGGCTTGCCAGAGCCACTTCGCACCCGATCTGGAATGAGGAATTCGTCTTCAGAGTCAGTGACGTCGACCATGTTCTTGTTTCGGCTTTTCACCACGACCAAGACCACTCAAATGCCTCCACCGCCCTTTTAGGTCAAGTTCGGATACCGCTTTCTTCCGTCGCCGCCGAAGATAACCAAACCCTGTTGCCGACGTGGTTCGTCCTTGAAAAGCCCAGTGACGGCAACTTCGTTAACATCGAATGTGGTCAGTATTTGATTCCCTTTATATGATACGACTTGGATGATGTCGATTCTCGTTTTGGGAAACCTGATTGATTCTGGCATCCATTTCTGTACGATCGACGAATAATGGCATATTCTTGTCCACTTTGTTGCGTTTGAAATGGTGTTTAAGCCTGTGGTTAGAGGGAATAGATTACCATTAGTGACATAAGCTTGAGGTCATACATGAGAGAATCCGTTTAGTATTTTGACATTTCTGTGAATGCGACTGCTCTCTGTGACCTTATAAAGCATTGTTAATCATTCTCTTTCTGGTTTTCTATTATTTCTGTTTTTAGATTCTCGTTACAAGGCTGTGTTGCCTTATTTATCTATCTGAAATGTCTACTTCTCTGTCATTACTCGAGACATATTGACACACCAGAATCATCAAAATCTTTGAGTTTGATATCTTCCCTTGTTATCATTTGCCTCTGTATTTGTGTGTGTATATGAACGTCCTCGTTTATCTCTGGATATTATGAACTTTACCTTTGTCTCCCAGGGAAAATCCTTCTCAGTTTGTCTTTGCAAGGGAAGTGGGAAAGTATCCCTGGTGACAAAATTTCCCATGAAAAGCAGGATATCAACTTGGAGAGCGTTAAAGAACTCGAAGGATCGGCTAAAGATTTGGGTTCCTCCAAAGATGGGAGACGGCGTAAACACCATGAAGGGAAGCACATAATGAAAAATTTTGTCAACCAGATTGACAAGCTTTTTCATAAGAAAGAGGAAATCTCTAAAACACTTCATGACGACTCATCAGGACAAACTGTAACCTCAAATTATGAGGATGCCACAGAAAAATCTTCTTCCTCTGCTACTTGTACTAGCTTTGAGGAAGGCCTTGACCTGATACAGTCTACTGACAGCGAAAAGGAAGAAATGCCTGAGAATCTTCTAGGAGGAATTCTTCTTGATCAGAAATATTTAGTCTCACCTTGCGATCTTAACAAATTTCTTTTCATGCCAAGTTCGCAATTTAGGAAGGAGTTGGCTGAAATTCAAGGTTTAACAGATGTACAGGAAGGGCCTTGGACAATGATACAAGAAGATAATCCTCGTCTAACACGGGTTGTAACATACATGAGACCTGCAACAAAGTTGGTCAAAGCAGGAAAAGCTACAGAGAATCAAGTTTACCGGAAAGCGAGTGGGAAGCAGTTTGCTGTTTTTGTTAGTGTAAGCACACCAGATGTTCCCTATGGAAATACCTTTAAAATAGAGTTGCTTTACAAGATACTACCTGGAACAGAGCCAAGTGCTGATGGGGAATCTTCTCGGCTGATTATATCATGGGGAATTCAATTTAGTCAAAGTACTATAATGAAAGGTATGATTGAAGGAGGTGCTAGGCAAGGGCTGAAAGATAGTTTTGAGCAATTTTCTGATCTCCTCGCTAAGAATTACAAAACTCTTGATTCGGCGGTTTTATTGGACAAAGAGCAGGTTCTAGCAACAGTGCAGTCAGAGCGAAAGACTGATTTGAAATCAGCTTTTCTGTACTTCTGGAGTTCCTCTGTCGTCTGTGCTATTCTTTTGTCTGTTTATGTTGTGGTACATATTCTGCACTGTGAGCCCAGCAAAATCCAAGGACTTGAATTCTATGGGCTTGATTTACCTGATAGTTTTGGAGAGCTATTCACTAGTGGAATACTAGTTCTTCTTCTGGAGCGTGTTTATATGATGACAGTCCACTTTATACAAGCTAGATTGCATCAAGGTGAAATGATAATTACTCTTAAAAACATCATCCAAACTTGTATTACTTGTGCAGTGCAGTTGAAGTCTAGTTTTCCTTCTTCTGATTTCAGGAAGAGATCATGGAGTCAAAACCAATGGTAAGGGCTGGATTCTGACAATAGCTCTAATTAAGGGAACAAATTTGGCTTCTGTGGAAGCAACAGAGCTCTTTGATCCTTATGTTGTTTTCACTTGCAATGGGAAAACAAGAACAAGCTCTGTAAAACTTCAATCTCAGGATCCTCAGTGGAATGGTAATCAAACTTTTTCTCTTGGCTATCTCTTCAATTTTACTAAAATTCTCCGTCTCCTTTTTCTATCTGTCAATTTTACTATAATTTCTTTTTCATCGCTGTCATGCTACTAAACAAATATATGGTGTGGTTCTTGCAGAGGTAATCGAGTTTGATGCTATGGAGGAACCACCGTCGGTATTAGATGTGGAGGTATTTGATTTTGATGGTCCATTTGACCAGGGTGCCTCTCTTGGGCATGCAGAGATCAATTTCTTGAAACACACCGCTGATGAACTTGCGGACTTGTGTGTTCCCCTAGTTGGTCATCATGCTCAAGCGTCTCAGTCAAAGTTACAGTTGAGAATTTTTCTCGAAAACAAGAACGGGGTTGAAACAATGAAGGATTACTTGAGTAAGGTGGAAAAGGAAGTTGGAAAGAAGGTAAACATGTTCATCTATTGCAAGGGAGTATCATTATTTGGTCAGTCTTTGTGACTTGGTGTGGTTGCTTGAAAAGGCCTTCATTATTTCATGTTCAAACAACCCTGACATATGTTCTCTTAATGTGTGTGTTGACAGTTGAACATTCGGTCACCACAAAAGAACTCTGCTTTCCAGAAATTGTTTAGTTTGCCCCATGAAGAATTTCTTCTCAAAGAATATACATGTTACTTGAAGAGAAAACTGCCTGTGCAGGTTTGTGTCTGTTTTCTTTTCCCTAGCTAATTCCTAAACTAGTTTTCCCTGGTATAGAAAAGAAGTATCCTGGTGAATGTTGTAATCTTGACACAGATTTATGTGTATAGTAGTTAAGCTAGAATAGAGATAACACACATTACGTTAGAATGGAAACTGATAATAGAATTAAGATTTATTTTGCTACTTTTGTTGACAGGGAAAGCTCTTTCTCTCTGCTAGAATTGTGGCGTTTCACTCCAATATATTTGGACATAAGACAAAGTTTTACTTCCTCTGGGAAGATATTGATGACATCCAAGTGCTTCCTCCAACTCTTGCTTCCTTAGGTAGCCCTTTGCTGCTCATTATTCTTAAAAAGAACCGAGGTCTTGATGCAAAGCATGGGGCTAAATCTCAGGATGAGGAAGGGAGACCTTGGTTCTATTTCCAGTCATTTGTGTCATTTGATGCAACTAGCAGGTATTTGAAGCAATATGGTTTACGTGATTATGAACCTGATGAAACCTGTAATGATTAGTTCACTGTTTGTAGCTAGTAAATCTGATGATCTATGAAAATGGCAGGACAATCATGGCTTTGTGGAAAACGAGGACGTTGAGTGTAGATCATAGAGCACAAATAGCAGAAGAAGAACAAGATGTAGCAGATCCCTTCCTCTTGCCTAACGATGTTGCAGTTGTTTCAGATGCGGATGCATCCAAGATGTCGAAAGTGTACACGTGTGATCTACCTTGTGATGTATATCTTTCTCTCCTCATGTTTTCTTCAAAGCTTGAAGATAGTATTCTTATAACTTGGTTCAAAGCTCTTCTCTTGTAGGTAGAATTGGTTATGAAGATCTTTGGTGGAGGAGAAATGGAGCGTAATATCATGGAGAAATCTGGATGCCTCAATTATGCGAGTACAACATGGGAATCTAAAAAACCGGGGGTCTATGAAAGACGGCTTTCTTACAGGTACAACCATTATGTTTCCGTGTTTGGAGGCGGAGTCACCTGCTCGCAACAGAAATCTCCAGCGCCAAATGATGAAGGCTGGATCTTGAACGAGATTGTGGCTCTCCATGATGTTCCATTCGGGGACCATTTTCGTGTAAGCCTTCTTCTTCCTCTGCTTTATTATACAGTCCATTTCATAGACTCTCTTGGAACAATCTTTTGTACTAAATGGCATTGATGAGTGTAGGTGCATCTAAGGTACGAGGTGAAGAAAGCAGGAGTTGATTGTAAAACAAGCAAATGCGAGGTTTATCTGAAGATCAGGTGGCTCAAACCAATCAAGTTTGAGCAGAGAATAAGCAGAAGTATAATGGAGAAATTCAGGAATCGATTGAAGGTGATATTTGATTTGTTCCAGAAAGAATCTGTTGGAAATTCATCTTTGACACTTATATGATAAAAATAAAAATAAAAATTCCCAACATAAGAGGGAATATATCATGTTTGTAGGATGAAACCATCTCGACATAATTTGTCACCTCCATTTGCTCCCAACCAATCATTTCCCCTTGCACGTGACTAAATTCCCAACATAAGAGGGAATATAGCATGAAAAGACGTTTGGTTATCCTAAACAAAATCCCCCTTAATTAAGGACTTCACTGCAAATTTACAATATAACTCTGGCGTTCAAATTTATTCCATTGAAACAAAGATTCATCCTGAGAAATTAGAACACCAATTTGGTGCATGATTGGTTGGGTTTAAATGTTGTCTAGAGTCTTAATTTTTCTTAAAGCATCATTACGTTACCAATCATGTTGTAGCTTTAATTCTTTAACTTTCAAATCTACATCTTTTTTTTACCAATCATGTTTTTACTTTAATTCTCTAAACTACCGTTTCTTTATTTTTTTTTAAGTTTCTTTTGCTGTAACATGTAAAATCTTACAGCCCCATTTTTATGGCTGTACAAACTTTTTTTTTTAAAATCACGTTATACACTTTTATTATGATTACTTAGTTAAAGCTTCATAAAAACAAAGTTTTGAGAGAAAAATATATATATGGAAGGATTTTAAAACAAGATTGTGACGAATATGGAAAATATAAAATCAAAAGTATTATAAATTATTCTATCAATCACTAAAGTATTTTTATATTTTAAATACATTTACCGAAATTATTTAATTTTAAAATGATATTTATTTTTTTTTTAATTGTCCATTTTAAAATAATTTAGAGGTTCATTTTTATTGCATTGAAAATTACATAAAGTTTCTATAAACTCGATTATTTGTATAATTAGTACAAAACATTTTATTTTCATAAAATTAGTCGATTTAATTAAAACTATAGCACATATGTTAGATTTACCAATCATGTTTTTATTTTAAAATAGTTACAGTTACAACTTATATTTGTATAGCAAAAAATTCTGAAGCAAAAAAATCTACGGCAAAAAAAATA